CCTAAACCCTAAACCCTATCCTGGAGGCAGAAGGACAAACTCCTATCCTTGAGGCATCAGGCTTTTAGCGGCCCCACTGTACTGGACGTTGGCGCCGGCCGGCTAGCAGATGTGCAGCTCGCCATAGCATGCTCGGGACTCAGTGAGTGTTTGGGGTTGAGGGTTCAGGATGTACATGCGGTTTTGGGATTAAGATTTCTCTTCAAATCATGATCTGCATCGCGCGCCTGAACAGCTTCACTGATGCCACAAGAATCACATGTGTTGCTGCCCGCAAGCCTCTTCCAACTCTCTGTGTTCTGGGTTGTGTCAATTGTCTTAATTACTTAATCTTCTGGATTTCACAGAAGCCTCTTATACAAGCCCGATGAAACTCAGGCATTTCTTAGCCTAACCCTTCAGGTACCTACTATATAGGGTACTAGAGCTCCTGAGGCCCTATATAGTAGGTACCTGGAGGGTTAGGGTTAAGTGAATGAAGCTCCTTAGCTAGCGCTCCATTGGCTGCGAGAGGCGGCACCGTGAAGGAGCTGGTGGCCGTCGATCGCGACGTCGAGGCCCGGGGTTTTTCGACATCCCAGAGGAGGCGATATCGGTTTGGGGTTTAGGGATCATAAACTCCATTCTGCCGCGGTTTTTACATAGGGGTCTTATAGGCTGTAGATTTCTTTTATTGGTTTCTTTAGTGTGTAAAAAAAGTTCCGACACTTACCTTACACTGGTCACTGAGTAGTATTTTCGATTATGCCACCGTAAAACTTTAGGGAGCCCTTATGGCAACCTTTTAGAATGAGCCCTGAATGGAACCCGTAAAGTTGAACCCGAAACCCTTCGAACGGGGCCGTGGAGATCAGTGATGGAGAACATGCTGTGAGTGGGTTTACGGTTTAGGGCCCGCAACCCTAAACCCCTACCCCTAAACCCTAAACCCCTGAACCCTAAACCCCCAAACCCTAAACCCTAAAGCCCTAAACCCTAAACCCTTAAAACAACGACGCAAAAAACAGTGGTATATCGGCTCCAGAGATCCAACGTCTAAAAGGGACCCCAATTTTGAGAAGTACCCATGCAGCATAGAAGCCCTCTATATAGTTGTACTGTAGCTCTACTATCATACGAACCTTTAGTCTACTTCCAGAGGCCTTGGTATCAACCGAACTCACCCGCCGGCTTCTTCTTTTCTTCCTTTTCCTCTGTGCAAGATCCGGTTTGTTCTTTTAAGCACAGAATTGGCAGAGAGAGATTCGGTGGATATCCGATCATCATCAGATTCCTAGCTCCAGACATGTTATTTGCTATTGGCATTGGTATCACTGTATATAGTTAGTATATTGATGTGTTCATACTTACATATTATATATATATGTATATATATATATATATATGTATATGTATATATATATATGTATATATAACAGGCGCATACATTAAAATGCATGCTCATCAGGAGCATAGTTGCCATCATGCCGCATGGTACCTAAAAGAAGTGCCCGATCCTCTCGGCTGGAAGGCGCTGACGCACGGCGTGACCAGGCCTTTGGGTGCTAGGGCCCTACAGTGAATCCCAGAAAGTTTAGGGTTTAGGGTTTATAGAGTTTAGGAGGATCGGTGCTAGGATCCGCTATACTTTACCTCAAGGCATGAGGATATTGATGTTCCAACTTTCTGGCTTCTGCTATGCAATAGGAAGCATGGGGCTTGCGGTTTGGGTTTAGGGCTCTCAGGGTTTAGGGTTTAGGGCTTAGAGGGCTTAGGGCTTACAGGGTTGAGGGCTTATAGGGTTTAGGGCTTACAGGGTTTAGGGCTTATAGGATAAGGCTTAGGGTTTATGGTTGTTGAAGCCAGAGCCTCCAAGAGATACGGACAAGAGAGCCGATAGCAGCGCAGATGTTGCAGAACCAAAGACCGGTTTAGGGTTTAGGGTTTTGGGTCCCCGCAGTGCAGAGCCTCTAACTTACCCTGAACCCAACGATATCCACTAACCCGTAGAATCCGGACCCCGAAAACCCTAAACCCTACATCCCCCATGTAACCCGTATAGAATCCTGACCCCGAAAAACCCTAAACCCTATATCCCCCAAGTAACGTGTATAGAATCCTGAACCCTAAACCCTAAACCCTGCACCTAAAATCTCCTCCAGACTGTTGAAAACCGTAGCTAAGGACTTTATATAGCCAGGTAGTCCCCATATAAACCCCAATAACCTACAAGGGTCCCTATTAAGGGTCCCTCCTAAAGCCCTTAGACCCTGAACCTAAAATCTCCTCCAGACTGAACCCTAAACCCTAAACCCTGAACCCTAAACCCTGAACCCTGAACCTAAAATCTCCTCCGGACTTTTGAAAACCGGAAGCATCATCCTGCAGGCTGGAGCTCTGGGCGGAAAGGGAGAAGTGCCATCTCTGGACCAATCGACGAGTGTGCCTGGGCCAACAAGGTTTAAGGGTTTAGGGTTTAGGATTTAGGGTTTAGGGTTTAGGGGTATCTGTTTCTACCACCGAGTTCCGGAAGTATATTATTATACATAGAGGTGCCATACAGGATCTGCGTACTGCATACCTAGTCAGTACTCATATCCACTTGTCACATCTCGCGTGCATTTGGTTTTAGTTTTGGGCTTCAGCCCTGACGCCCCTCAACCGCTCCAGAGTCAAGGCTTGCAGGTTAGATTCTCAGAGGTTTACGACATAACATAGGGGCTTCAAAGTATGGATTATTACTAACATCATTCCTGAGGCTTCCTGATTATGATTAGTATATTAGGGTTCCGGGTGTAAGGTTTAGGGTGTGTGTGTATATATATATATATATATACATATATATATATATATACGTATTATATATATATATATATTCTACCCCAAAACCCTACTCTAATTCTTCAGGCCCCCCATAGTCTCCAAACCGAGGCGTCGCCTGGGCTTCAAGACCCGAGACATTCTAGGTCTTGCTACGTAGCATTTCTCTGGACCCTAGCAAGAAAAGCAGGTCATGGTCAACCCCCAACCCTTAAAACCCTAAACCCCGAGCCCCTAAGGTTACCTTGATCCTGAAAATGGCTTCAACAGAAAAGGAAAACAATGGAGACTCTAGACCCTAACCCCTAAACCCTAAACCCTAAACCCTAAATCCTAAACCCCTAAACCCAGGCGCCTTGAGGCTGCACCCCGCCCGAAGCTTCCGCGCGACGTGCTGCGGCCGGAGCTGCGCGGCCGTGGAGACGGGTTTAGGGTTTAGGGCTCTAGGGTTTAGGGTTTAGGGTTTGGGGTTTAGGGCTTAGGGTTCAGGGCTCTAGGGTTTAGGGTTTAAGGTTTAGGGCTTTAGGGTTTAGGGTTTTGGGTTCAGGGTTTAAATAGGGCTTCAGGGTTCTACGATGTTTTGGTTTGGGGTTTTAAGGTTTATTATAAGGTGTATGTGAAGTTGAAGTGAGATGATGGATTTCGGGCTTTTGGGTTTTGGCGCGGAGGGCCCTCAGTTTGGCCTGTGCTTGGCCCACAAGGAAGTTTCGATGCAACATGGCCTCGAAGAGAGCACGAAAGAAGTCCCGAATAACTCCCCTTCCTTCACGGGCCTCATAGGATCCCCAACCAATCCTTATTGAGGGAGTGTTTTGCTATTCGGGGTCTACATCACTGGGCCTGGAAGGCATGGGAAATGGAGTCACATCCTTCTGAAGGTCCTGCAACAATCCGCATCCGGAATATCGACCACTGACAAGTTCCAGGGGACGTTCCACAACCGGCTCAATGTTCAGAGTCATCATAAACAAGGCACCCCCTACGGTTGATGATATAAATCCTGCATTACCCATAATAAGGAATATACCATCATTCCCATCGTGTAGGGTCCTTCAGGTAATGCAGGATTTATTTCCTCAACAGTATCAGGCAGGAGCCCCAATGTTAAGTCGAGCTTTGCTTTTCCTGAGGCTCCTGGTAAGGCCCATCGTCGCAGATCTTCGAAGCGACGCAGCGCTAAGTGTCCTGGGAGGCCCGCTGTTACAAAGGATGGGTTTAGGGTTTGGTGTTTAGGGTTTAGGCGATCTCATGCATGTACTGTAGCCGCTGTGGCCTAAGCACCTGACTATGTAGTACTCCCGCTTGCTGTATGGGCCTTTAAGATGTAATTCCTATGAAGGCCCCACTATGATCTTTGGCATGGGACGGCATTTGCTACTGTAATCAGTGGTCTACATTAATACTCTAAACCAGGTGGGTAGTTCGTCAAATTAGGGTTCCTTTTAAAGTCACCAAAATGGTACGGCACCCTTATTCAACGACCGCCCAAAGGGACCCTAGTTTAGAGAACCGCCATGTAAACGACTCCTAGAACGCTTAGGGTTTGGGGTGCGGTGTAGGGCATGTGGCAATGAGTCCACTGAATCTGGGAAAAAGCCTCGGGCGCCAGATACGATCTCGGCATCAATCTAGTACTGCTGCTTCAAGCTGCTGCTCAGCCTAAGCCCTGTCAACCCTATATCCCCAAGGCCCTATGATGCCTATGATCCTTAACCCTAAACCGACAACCCTAACCCCTAAACCCTAACCCCAGATCCTAACCGCAGAATCCCGAATCCCAAAGCCCCAAGCCCCAAACCGCTTCTTGAAGGCAGCCAGTTCAACACCATTTGCTGCCACTTCGCGGTCCATTACTTCTGGGACTCCGAGCAGGTCCGGCAGCAAATCTTTCGGGTTTTGGAGTTCAGGCGTGGGGTTCAGGGATGACCTCGGTTTAGGGTCTATAGGTGTTGATATAGGGTTAAGGATTTTAGGTTTAGGGTGTCGGGTTTAGGAGTTGAGGTTGCGGTTTCGGGGACGATGATGTTACTGAGGTACTTTCTGAGAACTTACGGCTTCTTGGGAACGTTCCTTGACTTCTCATAAGACCGCCATCGCCGGAAGGCGCCCCTTAAACCCGAAGCCTGCGACCGCAAGACTTAAACCCTGATCCCGAAACCCTAAGGCCCCAGAACCTGTCCTCTGTGCCCGATAGACCTTATAATTATACCTATGCCCGAACCCTAAACTCTTACTTAGCCATAAGCTCTACACTTCTAGGGTTTAGGGTTTAGGGAGTCCCTCAACCTGATGGCTACACACTACAGTTGATCCACCGAGTCGTCCCCACAATCTCCCCTAAGCCCTAGATCCTTAGCCCTATATCCTAAACCCTAAGCCCCAAATCC